AGCGGCCCCCGCTCCCCGCCGCGTCGCTGGGCGCCGAGCCCCTCGCCCGACCCTGTCCCAGGATCAGGGGCTCCCCCACCCCGGGCGGCGTCGGGAGCGGGCTGGCCCCCGGCCCCCCGCTGCGAGCGCACGACCCAGCCCCGGGCCCCGCCAGCCGGGTCTTGGTGCCATCGCCACCCCCGGGAACACCTCGAGGGTCCCTGCCTGAAGTTCCTCCCTGGACCCCCCTGCGCTCCATCTCGCCCCCTCCCCCTGCCAGCCCCCTCCGGCTTCTTGGAAAATGTGCTGGAAGAGGCGGGGCCTGGGCCCAGGGTCACCTCGTGGCTGCCCTAGGTGTCTGTCCTTTGCCTGGGGGCGCAGGTCTGAGATCCAACTTTGCTACTGGTCGGGCCGGGCGGGCACAAGGAGCCTGCGGGGTCTGCGAGCCGTTGGGGACCTGTAGCAACCCTGGCGGGGCAGTGCGGGGGACCAAGTAGGAACCCTGGTGGGGTAGTGCGGGTGTCACCAAGAGCCTGCCAGGCCCTGCCCAGGCGGTGTCGGGTGCCTTCATCTGCCCTCTGGGGACTCCAGGAAGGGAGTGGCCAAAGGGTATTGTAACCCACAATGCTGCCCACAGGAGCTGGGGCAGCCTAGAACACTTGGCTCTGGAAAGGGCAGCAGAGACGAGATAATCCGGGCCTAGGCGCAGGGGACCAGGGCTGTGGAGGGTCCAGCAAACCAGGGCTGTAGCCCGCTAAGGATGGGCAGGCCAACTTTCCCAGTGGAATTGCTTCCCGTGTCCCCTCTGGCTGCATGGAGGTGGAGCGCAGCGCCAGAGCCGGGCCAGCCTGGCATCAGGGTCCAGGCGCCTCCCCAGGGCACTGCCCAGGGGCACATTCAGACCGATGTCCACCTCCAGTGTCCACCTGTGTCCCAGCTGAAGTGGGGAGAGCCACAGGGGGTGGGCTGGGCAGGCTCCAGTCTGAGCTATAGGACCCCAGACTTGGCCTCTCTGGGCCTCAGTCAATCTTTCTGCAAAATGGGGGCATGAGCCTCGTTTTTCCAGGACTGCTGAGGGCCGGGAGCCCTCTCTGGTCCACAAATGCCTTATGTGACTGTTGAGCACCTACTGTGTGCAGCCAAGTCTCCCCAACCAGCCACCCAGCCCCTCCCTGTTTGCGAAGTACCCTCTCACCCTCTTCTTCGCCTCCTGAGTCCTCACGAGAGTGAGATGGGGAAACTGAGGCCCGAGGGGTATCTGAAGGCCAAAGAAATGACCTGTGTCTTCGAAACTGCCTCCCTCTCACCCCCCAACAGGCAGAGCCCTGTAAACACCTGGGTTTTAAGCCTGTATGCGTGTCCTTAAATTCTAATTAAGGGACACGGGAAAGGGAAGATCAGAGGCTCTGGGCTGTTGGTGTTTCATGTGACAGGTCCAGGGAGGAGAGATTGGAGGCCTGCAGCCCAGGAGAGGCCGGGTCCAGCACCGCAGTGGGCTCTCCTGCCTCCTGCACCATGGGGCCAGTGGCGGAGCCGGGCGCTGTGGGTGACAGCTGCCTGCCTTGCTGAATGAGCCAGAGGGGGCAGTGGGCCACCTCCTGGCTCCATGCCGAGCATGTCTGCCTTCCCAGGTGGCGCAGCCTCTCCACCGGGCGGAACCCTCAGCATCCCAGCCAGGCATGCCAGGGGCACTGGGTGTCTGGGGCTGCCTCTTGGGAGCTCTCGATGAGCGCAGACCAGGCCAGGCCTTCTGGGGTTCAGACGCCCTCCGGGAACTGGCAATAGAAGTGTTTGGTTGTCATAGACTGTCACTCTGCCACTGTCCCCTCCTCCAGCCCTGTGGGGAAGAGGGAGGCTGGGTGGGCTGGGGCCAGAGGCTCTCCAGGCCTCCACTGACACTCTGGCACCTCCCGGCAACTCTGGAGGTCCGGCGGGGGCGGGGGGCTCAGGACAGCCTTGAGCCTGGGGCTGGGGGAGGTGCGCCGGGTGAAGGGTGCCTCCTCTCTGCTGGTCGTGGGTTCCGATCACCTGCGTGGGCCCCCAGCTGGCAGGGCCAGGATTTTTCCAGCCCCCCAAGACCCAGAAGTGGGGCAGGCTCCAACGCTGAGGCCCCAGTGAGACCGCTGTCCCCTCCCAGGTCCCAATTAAAACTCCGTAGTAAGCTAGGAGAGGGGGGACTTGGGGCTCCGGGCAGGCGCTTGATAACCAGTCAGTGCAGCTGCCTAGAGGGTGTAAACTGAGGCAGAGAGCTGGGGGAACAAGACCCAGGAGATGGGACAAGAGCAGGTAGAGGTGGCACAGGCGTGCTGGCGGGTCAGCCCCAGAGAAACCAGAGCACCTCGGGCACGTGCTTCTCCTCAGGGGGTGGGCTTTTCCCTTGGGTTCTCTCACGTGCTTGTGGGACCAGGGAAACTGAGGCACCACGTTCAGCATCCAATACTAGGGGGTTTCCCAATGTTTGTCTCAAATTCCCTACCATGAGCATGTGTCCATTCTGCAATCAGATAAATTAATAAATGTTGCCAGAAACATAAATTGGTACTTGTTTTAGGGAAAAAGCCAGACTCCCTCAAGAACACACAGGGTTGCTTACACAGTGGGGGTGTCTCCATCACAGACCAACTATCTCCTTGCTTTTCTTCTGAAGGTAGGGCTAGCAAATCTGAACTGAAGCAAGAAACACTGAGGCAAGACCACAGGAAGAACTTCCTGTCCCTGAAGGTAGTTGTCCCCGGAACTGAGGACTAGGATGGCTCAGAGTGACCTGGGTTTGGGGCTGGGCTCTCCCACGCCCTGCCTGTGAGGCCAGGGAGGTTGGTGATGGTTATTTGCCATGTAACCCTCACTTTCCTTGGCTGAAAAATGAGTGAACACGGGCATCTCCCTCCCAGAGGGAAATGGTGCGTGGGCGCCTCCAGCCCAGTGCTGGCACACACAGCGTTCAATAATGTCGCCTGTTGTTCCCGACTGCTCACCAAGTCCTGGCATTCCACCTCCGAAACATTCCTCCACTCCATCTACTTCTCCTGTGCCACTGCCACCACGCAGGCCACCGGGGCTGCTCCTGGCCTCCATGTCCCCTTACCACCCCTTCTCCATAGCAGCAAGGGTGAGCCTCTTAAGAGGTGACATCACTCTTCTGGATACAGCCTTGGCAAAGTGGCAGCAGGTCTGGGGAAGGCCTCTCACCCCTCACCTGCCTCTTCTTCCTCCAGAGCACGGGCCGCCATGGGCTCCGTTGGGAGCCAGCGCCTCAAGGAGCCCAGCGTGGCGGGCACTCCTGACAGGACGGTGGCAGTGAGCTTCAGCTTCGACAGCCACCAGCTGGAGGCGGCCGCCGCAGAGGCAGCTCCAGGCACGGACGTTAGGGCCAGGGGTGTCCCAGCTGTCATGGACTCCGGTGAGTGAGCCTGCGGGCAAGGTACGCTTCTGCCCCAAAGCAGGGCTTGGCCACAGGACCCCTGGCGGAGTCTCAGGGGCAGGGGAGCCTTGGGCAGTCACGGAGCACCGGAGGCAGCATCCATTAGGATGGGTCACATCTGCTGCGGTGACAAAGATGCCCACTGCTGTGGTGCCCTCATGCTGGTACTGCATGTCCCCAGCAGGTGTTAGGGGCTCCACCTACGGATCCGGGCTGAGCAGGCTGTGTCTCAGCATGTGCTTCCTGCTCATGCCCTGGCCCATACAGCTTCTATCTGGAAGTGACACATGTCACTTTGGTCACATTCGTTGACCAAAGCAAGCCATGCCTAATTGCAAAGGGAGCAGGGAAGTGCCCAAAAGGGGAACTGGAGGTGAAGTTCAAAGACCTGGATTTTGGCCCAGGTGTGTGACCTTGGGCAAGGGCCTAGGCCTCTCTGAGCCTCAGTTTCCCCACATTGACGAAATGGTAGCTGTGTGACCTTGGGCATAAGCCTAAATGTCTCTGAGCCTCAGTTTCTCCACATTGAGGAAATGGTAGCCATGTGGCCGTGGGCAAGGGCCTAGGCCTCTCTGAGCCTCAGTTTCCCCACACTGAGGAGTGGGGCCACCGGACTGTGAGGTCAGACCTGCAGAGCGGGCAGCACGCGGGTCTGGAGTCTGACGGGCTTGGCTTCAGCTGCGCCTGCCCTCTGTTCCCCTCTCGGAGACCTTGAGCAAGTCACCGTTCTTCTCTGGGCCTCGCTCTGTCACGTGGAAGAGGGAATGAAACTGGTGTCTAGGTGGGTGTGACAGAATCCAGAACCTGTTGCTTAGGACTGTCCCAGGCATGCGGGAGGCACCCACGAGTGATGGCTCTTCTTTGATAGCTCTTGTTAATACCAGAGCTACCTGGGGCTCAGAAGTGTCCTCTGCTTCCGTCCCATCTCCCTGCAGATGGGCAGCGGGGCCTCCACCGGCGGAGCCCCGTGGGGGTTGAGGTGACCTCCCTGCTCCTGTGTGTGTGGACAGAGCCAGCTCGGCCCAGTCCCCGAGGTGTGGCAATAGACATCATGGGGCAGTGGTGACTTTAACGTGATGGCTGTGGTGACAGTGGCCTTGGTGTTGGTAGCTGGCGCGGTCAGTCTCCACGTGATTGTAGCTGGTTCCGTGTCACCTTTGCCATCAGCAGGCACCCCACCCGGTCGTGGTTCTTGGCCTGGTCGGGGGACCCAACCCTTCCTTCCTGGGGGTCTGGCCAGCAGCAGCCCTGCTCAACTGGGCTGGAGTTTCCAGGGACGTAGATTCCGGGGCATGGAAGTACCAGGAGGTGCCGTCGGCATCTCCCGTATTCCAGACGTGTTCTCCCTGTCCCGTGTGCGGTGCAGCCTGGTTCCCCTGCTGGGCAGGGCCAAGCCCCGCCGGCACAGCCAGCCTCTTCCTTGACTCTTGATTGAGGGCGTGAGCGGCCCAGGGTGGCCAGGTGGGGTCTTAACGTCCAGCTCAATGGGATCCTAGGGTCTTGGGGTTGGAGCTGAGGCCCCCAGGCCAGCAGAGCCAGAAGACACAGGCATGGGAAGCAGGTACTTGCTAGTGGTCACTGTAGGCACTAGTGGGTGGCACCACTGCCTGTCCACCCCTTGATTCCCGGACACGTGTCCTGACTATGGAGAAGCAGCGCCCTACGCCGGACACCGGCTTAGCGCGTACACAGCCCCTGGAACACCCCGCCCCAGGCCCACAGGGTGTCACCACCAGCCAGCCCTGTAGCTGAGTCTCCAAAAGGCCATCCCGCTGCTCCACTCAGCTGGCTGCTTCCATGGCCACGATGGCAGCGGATATGGCAGAAGTGGCCGTGGTGTTTGGTGACTTTTGAGAATGGCACAATGAAAGAGGCATGGGCAGCTGTGGCCATAGAGAGGGACAGTGGCCGTGCTGGTGGTGGCGGCCAGCAGCCCGGTGCGGTGGCCATGGCCGCGAGTGGGCTTGCCTGTGTCTCACCTGGTGTTTCTGGCTTCAGCGGCGGAGGAGCCGGTGCCCGACGACCGCTACCACGCGATCTACTTTGCGATGCTGCTGGCCGGGGTGGGCTTCCTGCTGCCCTACAACAGCTTTATCACCGATGTGGACCACCTGCATCACAAGTACCCAGGTGGGGCCCCCACGGGCGTGCCGGCCCCCCCAGGAACCCCAAGGGGCAGGACCCTGCTTGGGAGCCCATTTTATTCAAATCCTGGCTCAGCTGTGAATTGCTGAGTGACTTCAGGGAAGTCACCCACCCTCTCTGGGCAGTGAGCCCCTGTTGGGAGAGCGAGGAGGTAGCACCTGGCAGGGGAAGGTGCAGAGGGTGCGGGCTCCCCCTGAGCACCTGCTGCCGGCTGGCCCTCCACAGGGACCTCTATTGTGTTCGACATGAGCCTCACCTACATCTTGGTGGCGCTGGTGGCTGTGCTCCTCAACAACGTCCTGGTGGAGAGACTGAACCTGCACACCAGGATCACTGCGGGTATGCTGGCCCCGACCCTGCCACAGGTGCCTCCCCCTGAGGCTCTCACCCACCCAGTTGCTCTGAGCCTCACTGTGCCTGTCTGTAAAATGGGCGCGCTTCCTAGGAATGCCCTAAGGTGTGGTGTAAGGAGAATAGGGTCTCACTGTGGTTGGGGCCACCGTAAGACAACATGCTGCTTTGGAGGCTTTCGAGCACCCGATTTCATGTCCTGGGGCCTCTGCCTGAGCTCTCCCCTCTACCCAAGCACTCTTCCTTTCTGGTTCCTTTTCGTGGTGACACCCAGCTGCAAGGCCCAGCTCAAAGGCGCCTCCTCCGGGAAGGCTTCCGAGGTGCCCCCCTTAGACCTCTGCAGCATCCCTGGTGTTAAGGGGGAAGGGCAGGGAGCTGACTGCAGGGAGGGGGTGGGGATGAGGGGCCCCCACCAGTCGGCTCGCCACCCCTCACGGCCTCTCCCCCCACAGGCTACCTCTTAGCCTTGGGCCCCCTCCTGTTCATCAGCATCTGTGACGTGTGGCTGCAGCTCTTCTCTCGTGACCAGGCCTACGCCATCAACCTGGCCGCCGTGGGCACTGTGGCCTTCGGCTGCACAGGTATGAACCAGGGCCAGAGGCCGGGGCTGAGCCCTGAGTGCCACTGCGGGTGGCCTGTGACGTGAGGCGAGCTGGCTGGGTGCTCAGTATGTGTCAGACACAGACACCGAGGCGGCCCCGGTTTTCTCTGACAGAAACCAGCCTTCAAGGACTGGCCCGCCGTTGTCACCATGCCACTGCTGCTCTTGGGAAATGGCCTTCAAACTTTTTTTTT